AATAATGCCAAAGAAAAAGTCATAAATGTTAATTTTAAACACGAATTCTTATTCCCAGATCTAATAAGTGCGTCGTTCCATAGTTTAATTTTCATTTCTGATGGCCATAAATATATAGAGAAGAAACGAAATATGTGCTATTAATCTTTGAAAATAAAATGCGCTCATTTCATTGGTGATCAATAACATTATATTAAAAATATAGACAATTAAGCGACCTTTTCAGTTCAGAAAACCTTTGAAATCTAACTTTCGGTTATCAAATTTACTTTCAATAAATCGTAGGTTAACGTTTCGCAAATGTTACAAGAAACATGAAAAACAATACAGGAAATATAAAGCCGCTTGAATGAAGAAAAGATGGTATATAGACCTCTTGATTATCTGAAATTCTTTTATGTAGTTTTACTTCCGGTTGAAAACGTATCAACAAAGACGCGTCACCCACAGCTGTTCGTGACACATTCCAAACTGAGATTACGAAGAGCGCTCGTCATGCTGACAATCTACAACCATCACAGTACAATGGTCATCAAAATTACAATCGAATTCTCCATTTACTTCAAATATTCAGCCAGTAATTGGTTGTTAAAACGTTACGTGTTATTGGTTTTTATCTTTTTAAAATACTTTTGTTTTCTATTTATAGAGAAAAATATATGGATTCGAATTTCTTTCAGAATTTACATGCTGCGCCCTCTACCAGCACCTAACATTTAAAATATCTTTCTGCCGTGTTTATTTCGTGAAAGGTTTGTAGGCACACATGAAAAAAAAGTACTATATAAGACATAGAATGAACTGAACACTTGGAAAGTCTAACGAAACACAAAGTTTATTTGATTCTGGTTCTTCAAATAGTTGATAAAATTCATCACCATAACGAAGACCAACAAGAAAAGTGATTTGAATTAAAGATATTTTGAAAATAAAAGTCGATTTATCCGCAGCCAGTACACAAGATAAAGATACTAAATCTATAAAATGTCAGTAATATTTCACAAGACTTTATCAATCAATCGATATTACTATCAACTCTTACAAACACGACAATCACCTACCATTCATTTTTTCTAATGAGAATAAAATCCTAGCTGTCTGCTGCCATTTGCACTACTGACCACAGAAAACAACCAGTCAGCAGTGCTCTACCATTCACGCTCAGAGATTGACTATCACTCTTATAACGCACCCCCAGCTTAAAGTAAAGTGACGCTCAGTACGTTCGTATACAGTTAAATAAAATGTAAGTACTGCAGTGACGCTCAGCACGTTCGTGTACAGTTAAATAAAATGTAAGTACTGTAGTGACGCTCAGCACGTTCGTGTACAGTTAAATAAAATGTAAGTACTGTAGTGACGCTCAGCACGTTCGTGTACAGTTAAATAAAATGTAAGTACTGTAGTGACGGCTGAGCGTCACTACATTACTTACATTTTATTTAACTATATACGAACATGCTGAGCATCACTACAGTACTTACATTTTATTTAACTGTACACGAACATGCTGAGATGTTCGTGTATAGTTACTGACGCTCAGCATGTTCGTATACAGTTAAATAAAATGTAAGTACTGT